CTCAGGTCCTAGCCGGGAACCTTCCACTCCCCCAGCGCAAGCTGGAAAATCGTGGTGACCCGAAACTTGGACCCTCTGACCCTGTGCTCAGCGAGGAGGGTGGGGCCTCTGAGAGCTTCCAGACAGGCCTCCTTACTGTGCAGATAGTCTCCGAGGCGGCCAGGAGGGTCTCAGGAAAGGAGACTCCCAGTCCAGGACGCTGTCCATCGCACAACTGTCCTGCTGCTGTCCGTGGTTGACCTCTGTTCTTGTCTTCCCCCTTCCTTGGGTCGGTCCAAGCTCTCAGCTTCTGGTTCCTCCAGTTTCACAGGCCAGTGTGGGTGTTGTGCAGGGCCCAGGGTTTCCTGGAGGAATTCTGGGGATGCCCACCACTGTTCTCCAGTTTCTCTCCAGACTGTGGGGTGTATCTTCCTGGGGTCTAGTCCCTGCCCGACCTCAGACCCGCGTGGTGACCTTGGGCCGGTCTGCGCTTACTGGGGTCCTCACGCCCTTTCTGTGAAATGTGTGTCTGTCTGTGAGACGTGACGTGAGGAAGGTCTACAAGGCCAACTTCTAGCTCTGCCTTTGCAGGACCCTGTGATGGGGAAGGGGCGGGGGTCTGCGAGGGAACCAGCCGGGTGGGTTTCCGGATGTCCTCCATGGCGGGACCCCGTGGGAACCTGAAGCCCTAGCAACGGCTTAGGAGTGTCTCTAAGGGCAGTTTAGATGAATCGGGTCTTCGGATCATTCCTGTTCAGTGCTCGGCAGAATGCTCGGCACGCGGTGGCATTTGGGTGATGTGGAACGAAGGAGCGGTCCAGCGTTCGGGTCTCTGACCTCCCATGCCTTCTCTCCCGCCCCCGTAGTTTCTGGTGTCTGCAAATTCCAGCGCCACTTGCTGCGAATCCTCCCCGAGCTCTGTCCCAGACGTGGCCTCGGGCTCCACCCCGGCGGCGGCTCTCTGCTTAGCACCCTACGATAACGGGCTGCTGGGCAGTGCGCGGCCGGAGCTGGGCACGGCCTTGGGCATCTATGGAGCCCCCTACGCGGCCGCTGCAGCTGCTCAGAGCTACCCTGGGTACCTGCCCTACAGCCCGGAGCCACCCGCGCTGTACGGGGCGCTGGTGAGTGCAAGGGGTGGGACCTGGGTCTGTGCGCCAGAACCCACCCGCCCAGAGGCAGAAGCCCCAGCAGCTGCTGGTGAAATCCATTGTGACATCTCCAGGGAAAATCTAGGAAGGATGCCCAACGCCAAGGACAGGCAGTGGTTAGGATTGTGAGAAGGGGAAAAGCCCATCTTTGCACCATGTTGCAGTTTGCAGAAGCCCATGCTGCTTAGGAAACATTTGCATCCCTATTCATACACGAGGTGGGCAAGTCATCACTTTCCTCAATGTGAGCTGAGGAAGCTGAGGTCAATACCTTACCCAGAGTCGCAGAGATACCCAGGGTCAGGGACCAGCTCTGCTGGAAACTGAGGCAGGGAAGTCCCCCAGCTAGTGGGGGGAGGGGAGGGACACACAAGTGGTAACAGTAATAATAACCGCTAACATGTAACTACTGCTTATGCTGCACCAGGAATTCTGCCCTGCGCTCTTCTTCAATAGCCTATAGGGACCATTATTATGATCCCCAGTTAGCAAGGGGAAGCGGAGGCGTGGAGTGGTGAACAACTGTTCCCAAGATCACACCGCCAATGCGAGGTCGTGGGTACTGGAATTTAAACCAGACCAGACTCCGCTGGAGTTTACACCCTTAGCAACTGCCCCGCCTGGTCTCCTCCCTACATGGTGGGAGAACTGAATTCTGTCTCCCTCCCCCACCAGAACGCACAGTATGAATTTAAGGAGACTGCAGGGAACTTCACACCCGGCCTGTCACAACCGGGAGCCTATTGTCCCTATGAGCCGACTCTGGGGCAATACCCCTATGACCGGTAAGGTGTGGGGGGCACTGGTGGCTGGCATGGAAAGTCCTGCCCCGTCCACTGCCCTGGTAGGGCTGATCTGGGCAGCGAGTGGGAAGGGGGGATGAGCGGGGAGGGACAGGCGCAGAGTCCATTCACAGGCCACACACCCTCCCCCGCCTGCTGCCCCAGGTTGCCGGCCCCAGGACCCTGAGCCGGGTTCTCTCCCCGCAGGTACAGCAGCGCCGTGGAGTTGACCAGTGCCGGGCGCAGGAAGAACGCCACCCGGGAAACCACGAGCACGCTCAAGGCCTGGCTCCACGAGCACCGCAAGAACCCCTACCCCACCAAGGGCGAGAAGATCATGCTGGCCATCATCACCAAGATGACCCTCACCCAGGTGTCCACCTGGTTCGCCAACGCGCGCCGGCGCCTCAAGAAGGAGAACAAGATGACCTGGGCGCCCAAGAACAAAGGCGGGGAGGAGAGGAAGGCGGAGGATGGGGCCGAGGAGTCGCTGGGCTGCCTACATGGCGGCGACACCAAAGGTACCAGCAGTGAGCACCACCCCAGCTGCCTGCGGGGTAGCTTTTATGGAAGGCACTGCTCGCTGACCCTGGCTCGTGCATCCCCTGCAGGCCTCAGGGCCGGTGCCTGCTGGTACCCTCTGTCCCGCCTTCCCTACAGAACCAGTTTCTTCTGGACTTTAAAGTGCCACCTCTGCAGGGCCCTTCCTGGCTGCCTAAGCCAGCACAGCCCTCTAGTTCTTCTCTGTGGCCAGCCCCTCCTATTTCCTTCGCCACCTTCGCACTGTGACCCCTCCAAGAACCTCAGTGCCTCCAGAAGCCCTTTCCCTGAATGAATGCCTAGGTGATGTCTGGCACATCCTTAGCCCTTCATCCATATGTGCTGAATCACATCCTACCCACCAGCCACCTGTGCGCGTGGAAATGCGGGAGAAATTATCCCCTTGCCTTTATATGGTTGAGAGACGGAGACCCAGGTCTTAGCGACAGCCACACGGTGTGGGTTCCCCTGGCCTGGGGGCGAATGGAGAGGAGGAGACGTCTGGTGGGGTGGGGTGGGGTGGGGTCAAGGCTGGGGCTGGCGTTCTCTCCCTGGGGCCAGGGTGAGGGCTGGTGTGGTCAGTCTGGTGGATGACTCCCAGAATGCCCTGAGAGCAGGGCGCATCTCGCTAAAAGCTTCTGGGGATGGGCACTCCCGCGGATTTCCCTGGGGGCCTGGCGCTTTTCTCACTCCCTCACTGATGCCCTGCAGACCTCGCTGCGAGCTGGGAAGCTCGGGGATTTCTGGCTGAGTGAATCGGAGGACTGAGGAGAAGATGGGAGGAGAGGAGGAGAG